ATGTTGGCTCAGGAACTCTGGCATTGAAGCATGCAAGTCTTAAAGCTGTCAAGTTACAAGACCCTTGCACCCCTAACCTTTTAGAAAAACACCCCCAGGGGTGTTCAAACTTGACAGCTTTAAGACTTGTGGAATTCAACTCCCAGAATTCCTCCTCTCGCTCTTCATCTTGATGATGTGCGGACGGGTGGGGGTAGGGAGCTGGAACCAGTTCTAAAGGGCACTGTAAATTTGTGGAACCTCTTCTATAGAAGAGGTTAGAACTGGCAGGAACCCACCCCTGACTTGTCCGCTCTGCTAATCATACCTCTTCCCAGGTAAGAGCCTCTAAATAGTGGTTAGTGATTTAAGATATCAGTATCAGAGATAAAGTATTTCTCAAATCTACCTCCTAAAACTGTGGAATGTGGTTGGATGTTCAATCTAGTGCTACAAAACTATTGGTGTCCTTCTACAAGATTGCTGAAACTGTTGGCTGGTTGCCCTATCCATTTTATTTGGTTGATTGTACAAAGAGCAATAGGCAAGTGCTGTTCATCCTCACCCTGGGGGCTCCCCAAAAAATTAAATCCTGTCATTTGCTATGAATATATTCATAATATGCAGACATTAGGTGGCTGTAAAGCAAATAAATCACTCTGAAAGATTGCAATACCAATCACTTTCTTCTAACACCATGTAATTCTGATACAGTATGTTTTATTTTTAAAGGCCAACTTCTCGATGGAGAGATCTTAGCAAATGGGTAATACAATGTCATTTTTAAAAAGTTATATCAGATTTCAAAAGAGGAAATCTTCCAAATGTAAAAGGTTTGGCTTAAAAAGAAATGAAAGGAGAAATTTAAAAATATTTTGTAGAAGTATCTTATTCTTGCATAATATGCAAACATGGGGTCATCTAATAAGTACTGAAATGTTCAAGATGCAGAAAATAACACTATAAACAATTTACTTAATGTGAAGAGATTCAGTTCATGTCATACTTAAACTATGCAACGATACACATTCTGTGGTAGCATGACTGATGTCTATGTTTCTTATCAAAGGCAGCCTAATGTTATATAAAGGCTACAAGATTTGGGAAAATACACCACTATATATCAATCTTTGGAAAACATAATCAAGGCAATGTTATCATGAAGACTGGGTATATAGGTATCTGCCTAGCTAATGAAGATAAAGACTGAAAAAAAATCCACAATTGATTCTGTTAGGAGAATGAAAGCTAGTTACTTTGTCCTCACTCAAAAAAATACACTGTGGGAGTAGATTAGGATTTCATTTACTTCTTAAACATGATAAGATAGTCAATAAAATCTGTTCCAGCTTTATAAATGTTTTTAAAAGCTCTACATTCTTGTATGTTGCAGAATCAGATGGCCACATTATACAAAATGGGAAGAGTTTTACTGTTCAACATATCTAAATATGCAACCTTTTTGAAAATTAAGAGAGCTTAAACCTTATCATCAATCAGATCCAAGATGGTATATCTTACATGGATTTAAATTAAAAATCAGTAGAAGGATTTGCCATCTTGGAATTATCCTGACAAACTTAATTATATTACTGCAGCAGGAGAACAAGATGCCACCTTAAGCCCCATTTTTGTGGCCCTCAACCTTTCCCCACAGTTATACTGCTAAAGATCACAACACACTCATTATTGTTTAAGTGCTTTTGGGATATTGGAATCCAGATTATCTTTGAAGAAGCCTCTAATAATCTATTTTTAAGTGAATTTGTCAAATCTTGTCTTCCATTCACCCTTTTGTTTTGCTTGCCTTCTTCAAAGACATTACTATATCATTGTGTCTTATGTGGCCCTTGGAACTCTTCAAATAGATAAAGACTAACTATGGATGGAAAAAAATACCCATGGTCTAATGAAACACATCTCTTTTCATATCCCCGTATCACATTAATTCAGTTTTTACATTCACAAATAAGAAGATACACACACACACACACACACACACACACACACACACAAACACACACAAACGCACATATATATACATACATACCACAATTATAGCAGCCAATAACATTGGGGGGAAAATTCTTAAGAATTCACAACTACAAAGTTTGAGATTTCTTTTTTATTACTATTTGAAACTTTATTAATAAATACCACAAATTTGTACCACAAAAAGCTGCACATTTGGAATCTAAAAAGATGAATGCCAAGCTACTATCGGTTCAGTCAAACCAGTCTGAACTGGTAGGAACTAACAACTGGACTGGGCCAAGGTCACCAAGCTAGCTTTGGTACTTAGGCAAGATTTAAACTCACAATCTCTCAGTTTCTAGCCTGGTGCCAAACTGGTTCTCATATTAGGGTATACCATTTGTCACAAATGTAAGGATACTGATCTTATGCCACTCTTTTTAGAGATTAAGATAATTATTAGTATTATTTTCATTTTAAAAAATAGTGCCCAAATCTTCGTTATTACCCATATTTGGAAAAGGACTATTTTTAGTTGCTGTTCAACTGAAATCTCACTTTCACTGTTACAGACTCCTACTGCATGTACTTGAAATGCCTTTGATTGAATAATTTAGAAATTATTATTATAAAAAATGTTTTTAATTTTATTTTCCCCATTGAAAAAATTCTGGAACTTTTTCATTTACATAATGTGTTTATATAGTAGTTACTTAACTTTTCAGTGACCAATAGCAATGTGAGCTAGATAAAAATATGGAGTAATTTTGCAATTATCCCCTTTGGCTTCAGTAAAATGCTCAATAGGACGAGATAGGCAGCTGAATGGTGCCAATAAAGAGAAATAGTTATCATTTTCTTTTACATGGCATAATTGCTACATAAACCATGATCATTCCACAGATTTTGTTAGATCTAGTTCCATCTTGCAGAATAACAGGAAAGGAGATATACCTTCTCAGCTATAATCTAATGCAACACTAGCTACTGTACTTGCAGTGATAGAGAACAACAAAATAGGAGATTTTAGATAACTTTTAAGGTTTTTTTTAAACTTTATTCATTTCAAACTTTATTAAGAAAGAATAACCATAGCACAAAGCTAAAATTTTGGAATCTAAGGAGATAGACGAACAGTGTTTCTATAATATTTGAACAATGTCTTCACACTAGATATATTAGAGTATAATGTTTAGTGAAATCATTGGAAAAGTTATGACAAAAGAACTTAATGCAACAGATATGACTGCCTGCCTGTTTAATCACTAGAGTTACCTATTTGATATACCAAAGAATGCTAGGAGGTGTTTAATAACCAACTTTAACATTTTGTTTCACCAGCATTTCTTTTAAAGAACCAACTATATAACAACTACGAACAGGCCAACTTGTTCTGGTGGTTATTTTGTTGTAATAAATGCTTAAGATAGGGATGTCAAACTTGCGCCCTTTGGGCAGGATGTGTCACTTGCTGGCCATGCCCACCCCGATTTAGTGAAGGGGGAAAAAGTCACGATACATCACATGACAACAACATGACAACGTGAGTTTAACACCTCTGGCCAAAGAAAAATAGCCAGTGATGAAGTCAAGATATAAACTTTAAAATCTTACCTGAGTTCCTGCACGATTGAATCCACATGTGCTGTAAAAGAAGGGAAAACTGAATCAACTTATATGTTGCTTTTTTTAATCTGCTCACTTCTGATAAGAAATGTAACCCTTTTCTTAACAGGGTTACTTTAATTTCCCCCCAGCCACAAGATGATTATTATTATGAGTAGTAACTATTAAGTAGTAAATTCTATGATGACTTTAAAAAAAAATGCAGATGGTTTTCTACTATACTGGAAGATGAAAAATACTGTACAATGGATAAAATTTACCTCATACATAAATACAATTGCTAATTATAGCAGTAGTAATGTTGATTGTACAATGAAAAACCATATTTTGGTAGAGATGATTTGAGAGTGGAGAACTCTGGTGTTTACTTATTTACTTACCTGCCTGAAAAAGATTAGATGGTTTATTGGAAAAGCCATTAGATCATTTATTCATCTTTCACCCTATCTTTGGGAAAACAGTTATGCTTGTAAGCCTCTTTGTACAAGAGAAAAGCATTTAAGGCTTAAATATGCTTAACTGTTTTGGTAAATAAGAGTGATAGCCTTCTTAATATTTAAAGAAATTATGGTAGTGTGTTAACTTTGATTAGAAACTACTAAAGAAACTCAGTTAGCCCATAGCTCCCTGCAGACTTAGTCACATAAAAGCTTACAACAATGTTCAGATGTGCCGCAGTAACTTCATTATTTCATTGCAATTAATCACCTCATTTGGGAGTTGTTTTTCATCCTGCTGATCTAAACGGAACTACTTTTATTGATCTCATCTGAGGGTAAAGGAAGCTTTTTAAAGAATCATATAGATCTGGATTGATATCATTATAACTAGTTATATTGCTAGTACTAAGATATCTGGGTTGATAACTTATGGATGACCACAAGATGGCAGCAAGTGGTCACATTTATCTGTATCTCTTGGCTACCATCTACTGTTTGAATTTATGCAGTTTACCATAGCTCCATACTTTACATTCACTAAAATGAATACCAAAATGTGCATGGATGTAGAAATTTTATAGCAATTTGCTTGGAATTTTGGGAAGTGCTTTACAAAATTCTAAGCAACTTATTTTAAAAAAGACAGACATAAAATAGGAAATTATTGGATTGTATTATTTAACTCCATCTGTAAATACAGTTTTATGTGATCATGATAAATTCATGGTTTGCACATTAATTTCTACATGCATAGATATGTCACATTGAAATGTTATAATGCAGTAGTTCTCAAATGATGGGTCATGAAATTCTGGTAGTTCCCAATTAAATACAGAGGTCCTGATAACTATCCACAAAAGTGTAAGTAGCCAGGCTTGGAAACAGCAGTCATTGAATCCAGAATTAGCAACGAGATGGTCTGGAAATAGGAGTAGGAATCTCAATGGGAACAAAAACAGGACAGGAAGACTCCAGAAACTGGCCTTGAAGAAAAAAAAAATTGGAACTACCAAATGTCTTGCAGGGATTCTGCTTCAATTCAGCAAACTGCACAGGGGCAGATAGGCTAATGCTCCAGAGGGTTAATGTCATTGCCCAGAGGATTATTGGTTGCCCTCTCCCCTCCTTGGAAGAGTTTTATAGCTCCCGCTGCCTAAAGAAAGTTCAAAGCATTCTTAAAGATCCACATCATCCTGGGCACCCTTTTGAACTATGACCATCTGGCAGACGGTATAGGATAATAAAAACAAGGACAAGGCTGAAAAACAGCTTCTATACCAGGGCAATTCTATGGTATAGTGCAATATTAATGCAATATAGGGGTTTCAATTTCAATTATATAGCATGTGAAGGATGTGTCTTTATGTTTTTATTTTTATAATTATAATGTACACTGAAGATGGCATTTAATTTTGTTGTACAATGTGCAATGACAATAAAGTAAACTAAATGAAACTAAACTAAACTGAATACCAGGAACAAGTTACAAGGGAAGATACAAATCCATGGAAAGATATACAATCAGGGGTGGGTTCCGGATTCTTTTACTGCCAGTTCGGTCAGGGATGTGCTTCGTGCGCACATACACTTTGCATGCTTGATGAGCGATACACGCACATGCACAGAAGCAAAAACCAAAAAACTGGTTCGTATGCGTGGGCGGTTGAGTTACTACCTACTCAGCCAAACTGGTCCAAACCAGTAGGAACCCACCTCTGTATACAATGATGTTGATGGAAGAATTAATATATATTTCAGCGGAATTGTAGTCAAGAACCCTGATCCAATCTCAGATAGGAATTTGTGTTTTGAACCAGATAGGTTCAAGAAGTTTCTTACGTAGATGTGTTCCAAACTCCATATGGGCTTCCAAGAACCAGTCTTTTCTCATTCATTTTTTTACACAGCATTCCACACTTATGTGTACATATTATTTTTTATCTGCTGATGCATATCTGGATCTACTTCTGGAGAATACAGCATCCAAAAGCTCCATTCAGTGCTTCTGGAACCTGTGAGAACTCATTCCCAAGTCAACAGTAAAACTGAGTTCTCACCAGGCCCTGATTTTGCACATGCACAGGGCTATGACACATTTGAAGCTAGCTATCACTCCTAGTACTCAAGAAGAAGAAAAAACTCATTACAACAGTGGAAAATATATGCAGCTCTGATTTGAATTGTTTGATTCTTGATTTTTCTGAAACTTGCTTTTCATTTTGAAGACATTTTGTTACTGGCTAGGTAACATTATCAGTGCAAAGGAGAGTGATATTTGCTGGCTGTTTATATATGGCAGCTTGTCCTATCAGTCTTGATTGGAGTATTATTTCTTCCTTGATTACTCTTTTGATTGCAAACAGATAGATGACTGGCAGGTAGAAAACTGGCAGAACATATGCATGAACATGGCAGTCAGAAAACATAATGAAAATACCTTAATTTCACAACACATTGACAAGTTCCAGCACAATTTCAACTGGAAAACCATAGACTTAATCAAGGTAGATCCAAAAATATAATACAATTTCTAACATCTTGGCAGTCTGACCAATCAACTAGTAACAAAAAAGTGAGATGAGCTCTACCTAGAAACCATTCAAAAAAGGTAGCAATTAAAGGTCAGAAAACAACCAAACAACCTTAACTACATTGATCCTCATCACACCATCACTTGTTAACCCACCTCCAGATAAGCAGGAACAATCAAGAAAGAAACAATGGCCAGTTGAAAGAGCAGTCAATGAAACAATATAGCAGTCAAGGGTGATAGGACAAGCTACCATATCTAAACAGAAAACTTCACTCCCCTATACTGTGTACTGATGAAGTTACCTAGCCTGGTTATTAAATATCTGCAAGAAGAAAAAGAAGTTCAAATAAGATTTCACTAGTCAGAGGAACATGAAAGCTATTATTTTAGAAGGACCCAGCTCCACAAATTTTGATAATTGCTGATTTCTGCTATAATGAGCTAAGCATCTCTGCATCTTTTAAACAAAAACTTCATAGTATTTTTTAGTATTTAGTATTTATTAANGTGGTTTTCTTTCCTGATTTGTGAATGAAGAAGGGCTGACAATCATTGATTGATTCCTAATTATCCAGTATTCTTCATGGGCAAAGATTTGAACCTAAGTCCTAGACCACTACTCTTATATCTCATAGATTTTAGATTTGTTTTGTGGGAGATGCTAAGTCTATTGTTACAATCACTATTGTAACTATTCTGGTGGTATGTTGTGGATTTGGAACATATCTTGCCACTGGAGGTATGTTTCACACAATTGGGATATGATCATTAAATTCATCATAACTTTGTGGTCTATGATTAATTCACAGAATTTTAACAAAGCAGTGTATTCTTGTAGAATTATGCCATGAAAATTGGTCCGGCTTCTGGTGACATCTCATCAGTATAGTTTCAAGCAATCATAGCTTCAACTGAAACAAATATATTCAAACTATTTAATTCAGAGTATATTATTTGATATAAATTTCTTTGGATAGAGTGATAACAAAACCACAACCAAGCAGGACTGATTTTGATCCTATTGCCTCCCTACAGTTACCCAGGAAGTTATGCATAAAAACACTCTGTCAATTATATGTAATGTCATTTTATTATATTTGAAAACTCTTAACATTTTTCTGTAAAGTAAAAACATTAGCTTTTATTTACAGTATGAAGAAATTCACTATCCAGTTAGAAATGGGAAAAAAAAATTCTCCATCATTGTTGGTGATAAACAAAATTTCAGACTGACAATGAAAGCAGGAGGAGCAGCTGTTCTTAAATTGTTTGTATGATTGTGTGTTTTCCACTTAAACAGAGGAAGGAAATGTGAGGGCTTTCATCCTGGATCTGGACAAGAAGAAGGGACAAAAAAGTAATTGGAGGTTTTGAGCAAAAGAGCTAATTAAATTCTGAAAAATACAAAGGAACCACATTTTTGAGATGATGAAATGTTTGCTTATTGAATTAAGATCTGGTAGTATAGATTTTGAAATTAGTAAATTAGGCACATATGCAACTGATTTATTCACTATGACTTTTTTTAAAAAAAACTAATTTTAAGGCAGCTACCCTGTTCATTGCCCCTTTGATAAAAATAAAATTCTGCACAATTTTCATGATTTGTTACATTTAGAAATAAACATTTTTTTAGTTTGCTAAGAATATTTGCTAAGAGTAGAGCACAATAAAGATGCAGGAAGCTTTCTGAATCTTCTGATCTCATCCAGCCTACCAAGACCTCAGGACTGGGGCCACACTCCACCATGAACCACAGAAACCTCTGTACACTCTGTGGATTAACCTGAAACACCAAAATATATTTCACAGCAAAGATATTATACAACAATTATGTATTGTATATTATTTGTTATAAAGAATTCTAAATTTTAAGAGAAGGCTGGTGTCTCCAGATGTATTGGGATTATAGTCTTCAACACAAATTAAAGACTGGGGAAAACTGACTGACATTCATTTTCTTCACCCATCCATAATTCAAAAGCTAGGAAATGTTTGTGTTCCAAAACTATGCATTTAGTTTATTATTATGAATTGTAGCCTATA